AAAAAAAAAAAAAAAAAAAAACATAACATTTGCTAAACTATAAGTTCGAAAACAACTCAATTTGGTCAAAAACACATGCTCATAAACCTCTGAAAGATATAAATCTTAATATAAAATGGACCATAAAATTCAGAAACATCATTTATTACACAGAAGATAGAGTATATTCAGCAAAACTTAAACATAATGGAAAAATTTCAACACAAAAGCATATAAAAATTAATTTTTTAGTAGCCTATACCTCTCCCAATTTCAAAGACAAAACATTAATTACATAGACACTAACCACGTCCTTTTTGAAAGGAAAAAGGACATTTTTCAATTCTCCATGTTTAAGTAAAAGACACTGGGAATTCACCAATGGTTGTTATATTGCCTACTGTCTTCAAATTAGTTGTTCAGACTACCAGATAAGCATGCAAAATTGGTCAGAAAGAAAAAAAAAATAGGCATGAACTATTTCTTTCAATAAACCGTTAGACTTCAGCAGTACACTTATCCCAAATCTGTATCATTTCTGATGTTTTTATTTTTATTCTCGTTAATGGTTTGATCAATCAAGCATTCTTACATCTGGTAATCTGAGCAACTTCGCTGAAGGTAACAATATGTAACAGCCACTGTTAATTCCTATCATTTTGTTCTGAAACCCTGTATCATTTTTATTGTTTTTGCTTTGCTTTGTTTTTGTCTATGTTGTTGGTATTTTGCTACTGGTCTTTCTTTTTTATTATTCTCTTAAAAAAAGACACTACAGATTAAGCACACAGTCAAAAATATAAAATATGTCAATTCAATATTTTCTATTAAACACTACCTATACATAATCTAGATGTTTATAATTGATTTACTGTAAACCATACAATTTATGTATCACAAATTTCTGGAAAATTAGTGAAGAAATATTGACATCAAACTTTTTATATTATTTTATCATGTCTCCACTACATGAAAAATTTCCACAGGATTTGCAAAATCAGTTTACAGATATAATATTTCTCTGCAGTTGGGCTTCTTTCATGTATTTAACAATGTGTGTAAACTGGCATCTTTCCCACACTGCCCATATACATAGGATTTCTGCCCAGTAACTTCTTTCATATTTATGACAATTATCATGTGTGCTGAAAGTGTTCACACACTTACATACATAAAATTAATCCCCAGTGAGAGTTCTTTCATGTATTTTGCATTCATTCTGCCTGCTGAAAGCTTCCCCACTTTGCTTACATATCTAGTGTTTCTTCCCAGTGTGAATTCTTTCATGTCTTAGACAGTGATTGTTTGTG